ACACCACTATTTCTAAATAATTCATAGGCTTATATAATTCACCACTTTATACTACTCAGGGCTCGAAAAAGCTCAGAAATTTTACCCGTCACCGTGGACGGCTTGTCCAACAATTTACCCGTCCTCCTTTGAAACTGATCCGTCGCTTCTAAATAAATAAAAATATAATTTTATCTTATTTATTACTAACATTTATATAAATTGCACAATGAATTAGTAGTTACTAGGATTACAAATACTAGGATTATATTATACTGAAATAAAAGAAATACTAGGTCAAGTTATCTGGAATGTCAATTTATCCGAGGGTACTGCGTTTTTTAAATGAATCAAATATGACGTTTGCCAGTTCCACAATCAAACCAATGATTTACAGAGGTTTCTGCACAGAAATCTGAAAGCGGTTTTCCATTTAAGTAGATTTTCATAATTGCTTTTAACGCTTATTGTTTAAAACCAGTACGTAATGTGTTTTTTTGTAAGTTCATTGCTGAAAAGTCTCTTTCAACCGCTGCAGTACTCCCAGACAGAAAAAACATCAATTCCACCATGCGCAGTATGTATTTCTAGATTAGAGGGTCATTTTAGAAGTGAGGCGCTAGACTCTTGTAAGATAACTAAAATTGAAAATGTATCACGAACATTAACGGGAAAATGGCCAGTCCGCGCGGACGTTGGATTCGAGAAATTTGTTGTCCGCGGGAAATTTTTGACCGCCGAGGACGGGCAGTTTTTCGAGCCCTGATACTACTTATGTCATTATGTACCTTTTAAAAAGCAAGCAAAAATAGTCAAATATTAGCAAAATTTACTTAGTTGTTATTTACCGTTATTTTAATTATCTTGGCGTGTCCGGAGCAGTTGGTATCTCTGTCCGGGTCATCTTATTGGGAGGCGAGAGCTCTATCCCCTGAGCCACCATGACTCGGTCATTTGTACTGTTATCTGCTGGCTGACTGTACAAATTTCTTTCTTCCCTGATGGTTTCTACTAGCTAGTTAGGCCACAGACGAAATTAAACATGAAAAATTCACACAATTGATAATATGACGATAAATTTTGCTAGTAGCAGGAAAGGAAAGATTGAAACACGTATTGTTATTGGGCACAGAGTTCTACGCAATATTCGAGCTCTCTACTTAATCGAAAAGTGTTCGGAATTTCGAATGACGACCAATTGTACTTGGTGATAAAAATGACGATAAATTCTAATTGTAAGGGCCTGAATACAATTGAAACTTGCATTGTTATCAGACAGATATCTCGTAGAGATTTGAGTGAACCATGTAGTCAAGAAAATGGTTGAAATATGGATTGCAAGATTCCACCGTCGCAGACAGAAAAGCGAGTTAATAAAAATGTAAAATAAAAAATGACAGAAAATTACAACAATGCAAGGAAGAAAAGGTCAAAACAGGCCTCTCGTCTCTCCTGAACCATCCAAACCAAAAAGAAAAGGTGAAAGAAAAACAAACTTTTTAAACTGATCAAATTTGACCTTCGAAATAAATGATATTAAATCGATCCTTTGTGTTCAGAAGAAAATATAATATTCAACTTAAGTATCACATGAAGGAAAACTTGTTCGTAAAATATATGATTTATCTAATAGGTTTTTAAGAAAAGAAACTGATACACTATCTTTTATTTATATGTTGCTTGAACTAAAACTTCTCATCTTTAAGCAATCTAATAAGGGCGTTAAAGAACGCGTTGAAGTTTGAATAATGATGTTGAGTTTAGTGGTCGAAGTCTTATCGTTTGCAAACCATCACCGTTGAAATAATAGATGCTCCTGTTAAACATATCCTCTTGAAAATTTCAGCAAATCTTTTGCTACATTTGGCTCTTTATCTTCCATTTTGGGGATTATTTTCTTTCTTGTCTCAGTTACCAATACTTATTTATCTTCCATTTTGGGAATTATTTTCTCTTGTCTCAAACAGTTACCGACACTTATTTACTTTTTATCTATGTGAATCATTATTTTTTAATCAAATTTTTGTTAATTAAAGAGTAGTTTTTTTTTTTTTTTTAAATTTAATATATTTTTAGCTGATAATATACTCTTTTGAGTTCGAAATTTACATTGCAATCGTTTTTAGAACGAATCATGAAAACTCCATTCTCATACAAGTGAAGCTGTTCGCTATTGGCTTAAAGTTACTTAGACAGTAACATCCTGCCAACATTCACTCTTTCCGAAAAAAAATTTCCAAGTGGTAGTAAAACAATTCCTAAAAAACTATCTTACTCAAAAACATATTTATATTTTGACCATGTAGAAATACGCTTTATTAAATATATATTTGTTGTAATTATTTATATGTCGTGGTGGTCAAACTCATTTATAATTATCATAATAATTCAAAATTTATAATAACACGAGTTTCGCTACCACTTTAAATATGAAAATAAAATCCTTCCTCAAAACCAGAAGAGCTAGCAGCTTTGCAGAAAATTTAAAAGAGGAGAAGCTTAAGGGAAAATTTTGAAAACTCCCAAATGGAATAATAAATAAGTATTAATATCGAATCCTCATATAAAATAAGTTAAAAAAAATTTTGGCATTATGTATGGACTACATAGCCATGTTATCTTCCAAAAAACCGAGGAAAATCGAATTTTTTGTTATCTTTTGGGAATTATATAAATGAATTTTATAGCAAAAGTCAAAACGAAGTCTTTATTTAATAATTCCAAAACAAATTCGAAATTTAAAAAAGAAAAGATATGGTCTATTTTAAAGATAAAGTACGTGGCTACAAAAAATTATTACTTAGCATTGATTAGTTTCATACATCGAAAAAGCCAAAGACCATGGGGGGGGGGAACAGCAAATTTAAAAAAAAAATTAAGCTCAATTGGTTGAATAGTTTCTGAGTTATCAATTTTTTTTTTAAAAAAAGCCGTGTTTTTAAAATTTGATTTCTCAAAAACAATTTGACCGATTTCATCCACATTTTGTAATTTGCCATTTAAAATTATTCAATTCTTTAAAATGATGTAAAAATTTATACACCTTACAATTCAAAATTTTTTCAACTGTTATTAATAAAATAATAAAACATTATTTCTTACATGGGATTGTATTTGAAAGAACGAATTTTACAAGTCAACAACTGTCGTTCCAGCCAGGTCAAATTTTATAGGAAGGTCATATTCTTATGCGTGAAATCCCGATCAAAAGTCATCCAAGGTGGGTTTTTTTTTTTTTTTTTCCTAAATTTTTATTTTGAACACAGCACATATAATAAAAATAAAATGAATAATTCAGTAATTATAAAAAAAATAAAAGGTGGTATTTCTTTGGAAAAAATTATACCAAAGATATTTTTTGGCACTTAATTATTCCTCAACTCTTCCTTCTTTTTTAGGGATATTGGGGGTGATTTGAGATGAAATGAATTTTTCTAAACAAGTCAGTAAGGCATTGTTTCATTCAGAATAGAATAAGATTAATCTTGAGCTGACCCGAACTAATAATTTAGAAGTTATAAGCGTTTTATGTTCAAAAAACACAAATTTGTACTTATTTATGCATTGGATAATGCTACCAGAACAAGTGAGACGTTGTTAGCTTACGTATTTTGTGTGGTTGAATTTAATGTGACTATGCACGATTGAATAAAAGGAATAATTCATTCGTTAACAGCATTTTTAAGCATAAAATGTACTACTTTTGACGTAACTTAGTTCAATTTTTACTTTGCTATCTGAACAAGTGATACACTTTCAGATTCCAAAATCAATTTTACCTCGGATCCTAAAAATCGTTAAAACTCCAAATTATTTTGTTCATACTTACACTTATGAAACAAGTTTATACTAAATTAAATGATTAAAAATAAACTCTAATTGAAGGGGAAAAAATGGGGGTTATGTACTTAAAAGTAAAATTAATGGAGAAAGGTACTTATTGTTAATCTCCATACTATTAATGATAATGTGATAATCTGTGCTGTTTTTAAACACTTAAATATATTACCTAGTATAAGATATATTACCACTCAGTACCCATCGGTAACAAGATTCGTAATACAGGTATGTGGTAAAAGTTTCCTTTTTACAGCTCTGAAGAATAAATTGCTTGATGAACTTATAAGAATGTGCTTTGTTTAATAACGCAAAGCCACCAGGAAGGAAAATAAATAATCAGGAATAAAAGCAAATTCCGAATTATGACAGCTCCCTTAATTTTAGGCCTTTCAATTTTGCATACAGTGTTGATTTATTTACTTTTTCATAACCCAATCGAAAAAAGGGTTCTTAGCTAATTAACAGTAATAGATCAAACGAAGTTCATAATATATATACATTTTATTTCATCACAAATTTTTCAGTATAGAAAAGTATCACAAAACATTACCATCCTTCTGTTTCTCAGCATATATATATATACAAGATATGCAGCATTTACACAACATTTAAACAAAACCTCTCACTAATTTTACAACATCCTTCACATCTCACAGTGAACACATAACACATGAATAGAGCAAACTCTTAGCCACATCAAAATGCACCTTTTCAAAATAATTATAAATACAGCTTTAAAGAAGCACAAGACCAGAAAAAAGCAATTAATGTTTTCATAAAAAATAAAGGTACTTTACATCCTTTGAAAATTATTGACAGTAATTCAATATATTAAGGAAAAGAGAAATTTTAACAAATTTCTCAAGAAAAAAACAAAAATTGTTTTAGTTTGAAAATAAAGAAATGTTTGAATTAATTTCATACATTAAGAAAAGAAAAATTTTGACAAATTTCACAAGAAAATTGTTTTAGTGTTTGAAAGTAAAGAAATTTTAGACATTAATTTAATATATTAAGGAAAAGAGAAATTTTGACAAATTTAACAAGAAAAGCACACAAAATAATTGTTTTAGTTGGAAAAAAAAATTTTTTTCCCAAGTCCCAATCAATATACTGTTAAATAATGCTTTTTTAAAACAAAATTCAAATTTTAATATACAAGCAAATTTTTCATGAAGAAACTTAATAAACTGCTTAATATGTTTCATAATCCAATCACAGAATCAATACAATTTACTAAGTCAATATTGATAGCTAAAAGGTAAATAAACACACTTAAACTTTACCTAATTCAAATTGGAAAAGCGCACAAGGCAGCTGAAACCAAATTTGTATTATATAAACTAGAAATAAGATAAAAATTCTTAATAATTAAAAATAAAATATAATATATAAATGTGTGTTTGCAGAATAGTACTTCATCAGGGGACACACTGCTTTCAAACTACCTGCATAATCATTAAGAGGTCATGTGTTTATAATTAAAGATTGTAATAATATAAACTGATCCTACTTTTTAATAACAAATAACATAGCAACAACATTAAGAACAACCATATAACATATATGATTATTAATCAAGCTGTATTTAAAACCATATATATATATGTGTGTGTGTATATACATATATTTATTTATTTGAGGTTTATTGATATCTACCAAGTTATACATTCAATAGCAACAACACGGTTTTCCTAAAGTAAAAAAAACAAAAAAATAAGTTTGTTTTATCATTGATTAGAAACATATATATCCAATAAACAAAAAAGTATCTCAAATATGCCAATTTAAAAGGAAAAAAAAAAAAAAACTGACAGGGTATTTAATTACTTTTTCAGCTCAGTTCTAAATCTGAAATATTGGTGTATTGTTGGATATAAGTTTTATTTATTAAATCATTATAATACACACACATATATATAAAAATAAAAAAACATATTAACCTTTCGCTTATAGCGCTTAGCAAGATTAAGCCATTCTGGTTCACGTATTGTACCAGCCGTAAGCAAAGGGTTAATGATAAAAGGCCGACAACAGACAGCAGCAGAATAGCTTTACTTTTTTAAAATTATAAATAAACAAATTTAAAAACCAGTCACAAAAAAACATACAGGAATAAAAGCTCACTTATAGATGCATAACCTCATGAAGCTAAACAAAAGTAGCGTTAGTAGTGAGAAAAAAATAAGAAGCCATTCAGGTTATTAATTTATTAGTAATTTTCACACCAAAGCAGAGTTTACACTACCATTAAAATTTTCAATAGTTGTTTAAGTAAAGATTTTTAAGAGTTGATGATAGTAAAGAACACACAAAATAATCCCGTAAAGAAACAATAGTGTTGAAATGAATAAAGCATCCAAAATGGGTGATAATACTCAAAACATTCATTTTATTTGTTTTGAACATTTTTTATCTCTATTTGAGATTTAATTATAAATGTAACAATTTATAGGTAGCATGTTGTTGTTTACACTTGGAAAAGCATCCATAAGCCAAAAAGACAGTTAATACTAGTGATATACATGATATGAAACATATTTGCATGAAATATAAATAAATTATATAAATCTTTTGCTTGTGGCTCATATAACAAGAAAATGACAGGCTTTGTAAGCAAAGGGTAAATAATGAAATTAAGTATTTTTGTTAAAATTTGTTTACAATTTTAGTATCCACATTACATTTCAAGTCCATAACTTACAATTCAGTAGCTTTTGTTTTTAAAATAATTAATAAATATTTTTAAAACAATTAAACTGCAATTTCGTTTGACTTAAAAGAAAATAAAAAAGAACGAAAAGAAAAAGTGAAATATGCTTTTAGTGAATGAAATTTCTTCATTTTAAATAAAATTTTATGCCTGAAAAATATTGAAAATGTTTAGTTGCAATACTGAAATAACAAAAATATATTTGATATAGCAATTTTGTCTCAATTTTTATAAAGCAGTTTGACTGTTAAAGTTACAGAAATCAAATGGAATACAAAATTTTAAAACTCTGTTTTTCATTTTGAAGCCTTCATTTTCGAATACAAAAATGACCCTGAGTTTATTAAAGTAAATGACTAAAACTCAATTAAATGTACAAGTCATAATAATTTAAAAAACAAGCACACTTTTAAGATAAGAAATTATTCAATAAAGTAAAAAAAAAAAATATATTTTAAAAAATCACTGATAGAACTTATAAGTATAAAGAACTAGAATTAGAGTTTAACCAGATCAGTAAATTATACTCCACAAAGTAGTGTTACTCAGTCCTTTGCAAAACATGTAACTATGATGTGTGACCCACAAAAATTGCTATGCTATTAATAATCATAATTAATATAACTAACATAATTAGTTGTTATGCTGCCTAAACAAGCATACATAAAATTAAAACTTATTCCTTTCTTACACTTTTCAATAAACTAACATGTGAGAAACAAAATTCTTTAATAAAAAATAAGTATTTGCTAAGTGTTATAAAAAACCTTGTCTCACTGAGAAATGCTTTAAATTTTGAAATTACAGAATGCAAACGTTCAATATGGAAATTAATTTTTAATTCATGCTTTTACAAAAAAAAATTTTTTTTTTAAAAAGTACTTTGCCTTAGTTAAAGATAGCATTAGAAAGAATTAAATATGTAATAGATCTTTTTAAAAGCAAAATAAATCTTTTTACTTTAAATATATAAGAAAAAAGTTTATCTGAATTTTTGTTACCTTGCATTCGTGATTTGTGACTTAAACAAACCATTTATTTCTGAAAACATTTCTGTTAAAAGTAAATAGACTAGTTCACAAATATATACCCAAAAATGGTGAAGCCTTTGGGATAATGTATAAAATTATTAGCAAGATTGTGATGATTATGAACTAAATTGTGGTCGCTAACAATAATATTTAACCAAGATTCGTAAAGCTCCTAAGATAATGCACAAAATTATTATGTGAGTTGATGATTATGAGCTTAACTGTGATGATTAAGAAATAATTTATATAGGAATAGAAATTAAAAAAAATATAATCACTGGTTTAAAAGACCAGTAATTAAAGGATATTAGCACTCTTTGCACAGTTTACTGGTCTGTTTACCTGCCAGAATTCTATTTTAATAGAAAAAAAGTTTAAAAAAGTAAATTTAAATGTAAAATTATGTTACAGAGAATGTGCAATGTTAATAATTATGGTGGAATCTGCTATTTTGTGAAGAAAAAAAACACAAATCCTAACACAAAACCAAAAATAAGAATAGCATACTATTCATTTAATTTTGAGCCCTGATTTATCAGCCAAATTTAAAAAATAAAACAAAACAGAATGTTGTTCACTTGAAAACATAAATTTTGAAAAAAGATAAAATTGAATAAATTAGAAACAGATATGAGTTTTAAAGACAAAGATGAAAAAAGCTACATACATGTAAAATGTTATGCATTTTTCACTATTCAAAGTAAACCTTAAATTACTTAATATAGAATAATATAAACAATTCAGAAGAAAGTTAAATGTGGTAGTAAAAATATAAGTAGGACTAATTTAGGATTTTTGCTTTAGCTTTCATTTCACGTTTAACTGACTAAACATTCAGCTGAAGCTTAGTAAAATAGACTAATAGCATGCTAGATTTTACTACCACATAATTTTTACTTTCTTCCTCATTTTTTTTTACATTTTGTATATAGATGTGAATAGTATTTTACTAAAGCATATTCAACTTAACAATGTTACAAAACTAAAATAACATTTATGAGTTTGCATAGCATTAAAGAAGTCTAAAAAATTTATTTAACCAATTTTCCAAAACAATTTCTCTACTTCAAATGCTATATAAAACTATGAAATGTAATACTTAAATCATTTATAAAGAAGAATTAACTTCTGTTCCCTTAAAACTAAAATGTAACCATGCTCGTTGATTAACTAATTTAATTTATTCAGCTTCAACAAAAAGGCACATTTATTGCCACTGAAACAGATAATCATAAAAACAAAATATTAATGTAATAAGTTAAACGTTTGATATCAAAGTCAACAAACTTTTTCTTTCATCTAATATAACATCTCGGGTTAGATTAGGTCAGTGGTCGGCTACCTTATTAGCCAAAGAGCCAAATATGAACATTACAACAGTTTTTTAAAAAATTGGGAGCCAAATCTGCTTCTTTAGTAAACTTTTATTACACTAAATAAAACTAAATTTCATACTTAATAAATATTTATTAATGCGAACAATGCCCACTACTTCAGAAAAAGTATGCGCGCTCATGCTTGTGGTACCTTTGTATCACACCGAAGTACGCCGTAAACATACGAATAATTTCAGCCGGTAGCTTGTAGATGGTTTGTGTTAACGTTTACGAAAACTAATAAAATTAAACTCGATGTTTGTTACGTATTTTTACAACAATATAAAATTTTAAATACCTATCCATCTTTTAACTTAAACAAAAAATTATACATGTTCTCGATTTATAGAAGAATTTTAATTTATCAAAATAAGATATAATTTTTTTCTTACCAAGTTTTTTTTTAAATGAAAATATTATTGCGTCTTCCGTGGATATTTGTGATAGAGCCGCACTTAAGGAGCTAAAGAGCCACATGCGGCTCTGGAGCCGCACTTTGCCGACCACTGGATTAGGTGATTTTGATAATAAATAGCAATTAAATTGCTTTTCCTTTTACATTTTTATCATTCATTTTACCATTCATATTTTTATCACTTCAAAAATGAAATAAACATGTTTTCCAAAAAATATAATATATTTTGAGCATTTTATTTCTGAAAATTTAAAAATTTCTTTTTGTAAAATATAGTTAAACTAAATTAAAGACTGACATTAGGGCAATTCTACCAGTTACTTATGTTACTTGCCAATTTTAAAAGCATATAAGTCAGTAAGAAAAATTTGAGGACTTCTAATAGTTTTTATAAGTTTTACAAAAATTTCAAAAATTAAAAGCTAGATGCTACTAATACAACACAATACGTTGCAGCCCTAACAGCTAACATCTAATTTTAAAGGAAAAAAAATTTCAATTTCTAAAAGTTTTTAAATATTAGAGAAAGTGAAAATGAAAGTTATTTTGAAAAACAATTTATTAGGACTGTTTGAATTTTTTAAACTAAATTATATGTTATTAAAATAGGCAAATACGGCATTAGTAAAAGGTGAAATAAACCTTTCTTGCCTCACTATTTTTTCTTCTTTCTCAGTTTTATTTGTTTTAAACTAAAAGCATACAGAAATATGCAATCAAATTTCCTTATAAATATTAATTAATATCATTGGATTCAATTACAAAGGGTCTCAAAACATTTACTGCACTTCAAAAATAATTTTTTTTTACCATGCCTGGTTATGGTATGACTATTAACTACAAAAATTAAGCCACATGCACACAAATGGCAAGGCCTTTGTTTATGAAGGACAAAATAATACACATAATGAAATTATATGAATGAAACTAATAATGAAACTATATGAATGAAACTAATAATGAAATTATATGAATGGAACTAATAATGAAATTATATAAATGAAACTAAGATAATGATAGATTGATCAATGGAGAACAAAGCAATGATGTATGTACAGACAAATGAAGAGGTTTGGATTTTATGACTAATGAAATTGAATGTGCTAAGAAACAGATAAAGGTAGGTACAATGAAAAAAATATTTTGAACAATGATATAACCCTATGCATGAGTGACATATGTTTAAGAATGACTACAGAGGCATAATGAAATTAAAAGAATAGGTCAATTCTATAGATGGGCAATTTTACAGGGAAAAAAAGTATACATAAAAATGATAATGTATATATTTCAAAAGAAAGAAAATTAGATATATAAGTGAAAATAATGGAGAAACAATGAAAAATGAAACACCATACTGGATTAACATCACAATGTACTAAAATAGATAGAGGTATAATGAAATAAAATTCCTAAACTATAGTATAACATACACATGAGTGCCATGTTTATAAATGACAAAAGATGCAAAAATGATATTAAGAAATGGGTGAATTCGATGAATGATCAATTTAATGTGGGAGGGAAGCACACATAAAAATGATGAGGTACTTATTTTACAAGTAGCAAAATTGTATTTTCTAAAATATAAGTAAGGAAGGAACAATAAAAAACAAAACTGCTTAACATCACAAGAAGGGGGACAACAATGAAGCATATGCTTATGTTTCACAAAATTGTATGTACAATAGAATATTACTCACATACCCATAATTTAATTACAATGCAAAAATCGATACTGAAAAGGGCATGTTATGCAAGAAATTTTTTTAAAAAATGTTATTATGAAGGATAGTAAGTGACAACTCACATAACAAACGTTAGTAAAATCTTTAACAAAGTAAGGTGCCTAAGCTCTAGAGAAAAAAAATTCAAAACATAATATACATAAAAGTGACTATATATTCATTAAAGAAGTACATGTATTTATTTGTATTACACTCACACAGAACCATCAAGAGGTTTACATTCATGTTTGTGCTTTGAATGCCAGAAGGATTTCTGAAAATATAAAAATTACATTTTTAAAAACAAAATAATTATTAATTTATTTATTCAAGTAAATACAAAATCATGCAATATAAAAAAAAAAGTACAACATTAATTGAAATAATCCTTCTTTATATATGACAATAAGTGCTAAATTAGTCTCTTCTGAGAGTCAATGGGAATGAAATAATTGCATTACAAAACAAAAATTTTAAAAACTCATTAATAGATGTTAAATGTTACACCACAATGGTCCAATCAATGAAGTCTAATGATCAGGTCACAAGAGGATTGTATAATCTGGTTTTAGACTTTTCTTTCTGTTGGTATATTGGCAGAGGAAGAAATTATAACAAAATTATGATAAAATATCTATACTTAAATATGTGTAGAATTGAAAATTTTTTCATTCAATCGCGCAATTACCAAATAAAATACAATCTTATTTATTTTAGAAATTATGTATTGCATATTTCAATTTAAAAAAGTAGGCAAACAAAGATGAGCAAAAAAAGTTCACCAATAAGTAGCAAAAGTGAATAAGTAGGCATATTTAATTTATATCGATTTATTGTCAAACAAACATGAAACAATTTGTAACATATTGAACTAAATTTCAAACCTTGATACCTACCATATGTTAGTAGCAGTTAAAAATAGCATCATATAATTATTTGTGTGATAAGTTTCTTTAATCCAAATTTAATTTTTAAATGAAAAGGAAAAAGATCATATTCTTATTTCTGGTTTAGTTTGATATACTTCTACATTAAAAAGAAACTATTGTCAATCACTTTTTTTTCCAATAACTTAGGGCACATTAGTTAGTTGAGTACAGTGAAAATGTCAGATCACTTTGGACTATGCAAAAGCATATTGCTGGAACCAAAGTACTAGACTAATACCTTTTATAAGGTTCAAGCTCAATTTATGGAGGAAAAAAATTCCAGTGTTAAAAGCAACAATTCACAGTATACGCGATATGAGTATACACAGTATATGAGATCATACATTATATTATTGATTATATTGCTGTTGTTGTAGTTCATTTACGCAGCACTAGAGCTGCACAATGGGCTATTGGTGACGGTCTGGGAAATATCCCTGAGGATGATCCGAAGACATGCCATCACAATTTTGATCCTCTGCAGAGGGGGCGGCACCCCCGCTTTGGTAGCCTGAAGACATGCATGCAAAGTTAAGCACTTTATGGTCGAACAGTTTAACGAGGACCGATACAACACACCCTCGGATTATTGATTATAATAAAATAAGATTTAATTGCCATTTACGTAACTTAATATTTTATTCATAACTAAATCATGTCCAAGAGCACTTGAACATCAAGATAAATTATCATAGCTCCTCCGTTTATTTCACTTTTATCTAGTGTTGCCAGATATATGAAAGATCATATCGGCAGAAATATTGTGTGTAAACTTTAGTTTGTGTTAAGCTAAATTATAGCCCTAAGTAGAGAGTGCACAGTAGAATGACTTATGTTCAAGTCTTGATGAAAATTTGAAATTGCTATTGATTTTTCATAATGCAAACATTTATACATAATTTGATATTTAACTAGTTAAAACCTGTTTCTTTTGCAATTTTAGTTTGCAAAATAAAATTTTTTGTCGGTTGGAAAAATGGTTGAGGGATTGTCTGTTTCTATCGAAACAAAAAAGAGCACATTTAAGTAAGTGGATATTTTGTCACCTCCCTCAATATCATAACCTATCTTTAATGCTTACCCTATATCTCTACTTGAAATTATAGACTTCCTAACTATAGTCACTCACAGTACCACAGATGATTAACAAAAGGAGTTTTTCTTATTGACAAACTGCAGTGAAAGTTGCTTGTTTATGTTTGACAATACAAATGAAGAAAAAAAATTTGATGTATTATATGGCAGCACCTGGACCTGATGTAATTAGCATCAGAGATCTGTCTAGGTTTTTCTGAGAGGTGCCAATTTTGTGAAAATTTAGCCATAATTTGTGAAAAGTTAAAAATTATATTAAAAATAAACACAAAAACATAGTAAAAATATAGATTAATCGTTTCTTAAGGATACAAAAATAAAATTTTAAGAAAAGCATTTTGTGAAACTACTGTTTTTCCTAAAATTGAATTTGTGAAGGTACCGCTAAACAGTAAATTTAGCCTGGACAGACTCCTGAGCATGCACTTATAATATGCTAGTGGATAAAATGTATATTATTCTTAAGCTTGGTAAGCCATTGTTTTATCCAAATTTTAATTTACGAAGTTTTAATGTATCAAGATTATGAAAGATCAGCTGCAATTCAGGTTTAGACTGTGCATTTAGCATAGATGTTAGTCAGTAATTGGCACAAAAGTAATAATCGATTAGAGAAACAGAATTAATGCCAAGAATCAGAAACAATGCCTATCAGAATTAATGCCGAAAACCACTTAGCAGGGAATCAGCTGAAGCTAATTTCAATCATACAGCAATACATATAGTAAAAAATTAATAACTTACAGCACATGTAGGGTTACAATATGCAACCTTTGTACATTGTTTACATCTTAGTGTAGCAACTGTTCCACACATTGCACACAGCATGTCTGAGATAATTTCTCCAACAGAAGCAGGAAGCTTTAAGAAAAGGAAAGACAGCAATGAAACTTTTGTGTTAAAACATAAAATGAAATTGCAAAAATCAGAAAAGTGAAGTTACACAAACAGGGTTTAAAACAATATCCACATTCTTTGACATCATCATTATTTGTCATGCATGATGTAAACTCATTATTGTTGCAGATAAACACTAAATAATGATTGAAAGAACAAAGCACCAACGCTTCCTTGCACACCACAATATACAAAGGCACATCACATTTTAAATCACAATATTGAAAATTAAAAATAAAATTTAAAAATCTAATTGTTTTTATACTTATTTACTAAGATATAAGATTGTATATAAAACAATTAAACTAATAGTCAATTTAGAAACCATCAAAATGATTATATATCTATGTGTGTGTAAAATAAAAAGCTTTAACTAATCTTTTTATGTTATTTCTTTATCTAAATTCCCCCTCTTAATCAAAATTAAACACTTTCTCAGACTTTATTATTTATATCCACCCTTTTGATTCTATATTTAGATTTCAAGTATGAAAGAAATAACATTTTAAGTTTTCCCCGAAAACGAACCGTGAGATCCCTCAGCCTGTTTAATAGACCAATAACAATACTAATTTCCCCCCTTTTTTCCATGAGACATAACATATCATAAGACCAAACTTCTGTTACTTTCCTCAAGATAAAAACTCAAGCACATCAAGATTTCAGGGTGCAATTGATTTGAAGTCTTAAATAAAGATTGGTTACTATCCATCTTGTTACTATTGATTTGAAGTCTTAAATAAAGATTGGTTACTATCTTTTTCTTGCTTTCCACTTTGCTCTGACATAAATTTATATATACATATTTTAATCTGAACACCATTTCTCAGGACTGAGTTAACAGATTTTTTGAGTCTTCTGCTACATTGTGTAAAAAAGTTTTTTTATATGATGCTATTTTGTGTATGATGCAATTTTTTCTTAACTGATTCAATCTTGTCTATAAACAGTAAATTCTTTTAAGCAATCTCTGTTTTTCCGCAATACACTGATCTGTAATAAGCCAATACTAAAAATTTTACTAGCTATTCTGCATCCTGCTCAAATTATACAAGTTTCAGTAAAAAAAGCTATGATTAAAAAAAAACTTACTACAACAAGTGTAGGTAGTCTGAATTCAATTGGTTAGCCGTTATTTGTAATTTATAAATTTTCTAAAAATTCAACAGATTGTGGAAAATGTGATGTTAAACAATGTAGAAAAAGATTTATAATATTGAATGAATAATTCTAAAGAGAAGGTTAAGAAAATGAAAAAAAATATATATTTTTGATTAAAAAAAAACATTTAAATTTTTTTTAAATCTGAATAAGATACAATTTATAAGGCATATTTTCAGGATGGAGTACATATGTTTTACATGTATGCATTTTTGATGGAAAAAAGTGGCAATCAACAGACAATGTTTTATCGGAATTTGTTAATTTAATTGCTCTGCGTTTGGTGGTGACCATTAATTTTTCCCAAAATGGCAGTCCCATTTTATTCTGTTTCATTTAAAACAATTGATTGATAAAATGAAAAGAACGTAGAACAACAATTTTTCAGGCCTTAACTGGTAAAGCAAATTGATGGCATGTAATCGATAACTAGTTTCTTAGTGCAAAACAAAGACAAAATTAATAACACACTGAACAGACTAGCAACAAAAAGAACATGTTTGATAGATCCTCATTTGAAGAATACTTTAAAAATTATGACTGCGAACAATTCACATGATGTTGATGCTTTAGTTGAGCGAAAGCTACGTCAAACTACACATTTAGTTTGGAATGGCAATCATCCTTTTAGTAATGAAGCAATTTCATTTTTTAAGTATCTCAGTATCATCATTTTGCCCGCTTCAGATATTAACACGATTATACACGAAATAAATTATATTTCAATTTTTTAACAAAATATAAACGCCTTAAATATCAAAATATTAAATAAGCTACTCTAAAACCTACTATAAATAAATTCTCTTAACTAAAGAATATTTTTTAGCAGATATGTGGGCCAGGAAATTTTTTTTTTGAATTTATTGATGGTGAAAAAGGTTGAAACCCCCAAAAACACATTATTATTTTTAATAAATCAATTTTATGCTAAATTTTTTTTATTTAACATGCTGAATGCCACGCTAATTTACACGGATTGCCCGTCTGGCCAAAATGACTTTTGCATTTTCTACATTGCATTAATTTCTTCAAACCATTTTTAGTAACGATAATAATATAAAAAAATTAAAAGCATTAAAAATTTACTCGAATTATGTGTTTCTAATAATCTTGGCTTTGCTGGTCACTGGTAACCCCTGTGGCGATACAACAAACTCAGTGCCGGTCACCCCCATAGCATTCAACGTGTTAATTGTTAAAGAATTTAAAATTGATCAAAAGAATGAACCATGAAAATAAGCATTTCATTTTTTTTCTTTTCATTATTTATTTTAATTAAGTAGCTTTTGAACAGCATCAATATTCAATAGTAAACAAAGACTACTATATAAACTTTTACAGTGTAGGAATCATTTGGAGAGAAAATTTATCTTTACCTGAAATTGTAATTAAAAAAATGTTTTTTTTTTTTTTTTTTTTTTTTTTTTTTTTTTTTTTTTTTTTTTTTTTTTTTTTNTTTTTTTTTTTTTTTTTTAAGGCTTCAAATAATGAAGTGATAAAAGTTACATTAAAATTACATATTTTCCCCCCTTTCGAAACATAATTTTATTATTTTTGGAGTAAGTTTAGGATAGAAATGAATCGTGAAACTATTTAGGAAATAATTTAGAAAAAGTTTATAAAAATAGAAGTTCAGAAAAGTTACAATAAATGTAGAGTTATGTTGAAACAGATTTAAGTTTATGAACACCACAAGAAGAATGTAACAAAGAAATCACAAACACTTTTTTGCAATAATAATATCATTGTGCTTTCACAGGGGTAGTTTCAAGATGAAAATATTTAAATTGATTTAATTTTTAAATAAATTGACATGACTCGCAAGAACACTTCAGGGAAGAAAGGGTATAAAATAAATCATGCGATAATGAAACACAAAGCACTAACGAGTAAGAGTACTTCAATAGCACGTAACTTACCTTCCAGTTCAAACTGCTATCTAAATGCTTTCCAGAAATACCCCATCTGATAATAATAACCATAATTTCAGATCTGATTTACATAATTATTGAAGCCTTATGTCACACATATGCATTATTTTTAAAAAGTGTTTCACATTTTGAAGAGAAAAATTCACACAGCATTAAATACTTTTCAATGCACACAACATCTAATTTCTGAAGAAACACCACAAAATAAGCTCAAATGATCTTGAAACAAGAGTAGCACAGTCTTTAAAAAATAATTTTGATAAATGTTAGTAGTCCGCTATCCTCGAGAAGAAGGTAGTCGTTTATAAACAGAATTCTAATAGCATGCATCCTTTTCTATCAAGGCAAATTCAACCTGGCCGCTTTATTTCAAGGAAGAGAACCTTAAATAAAAGGGAAAAGATGGAATGAAGTTCAGAATTTAAGATAAATTAGGGAGATTTTGCATAGTGTTTTTGTAACGCAAACCATAACACTGAGTTTCACACTGCATGTGTGAGTATCCCACACAGAAAAAAGGTATCCTTTTTAACCTTTCACATATTATTTAAAGGGTTTGTGGCAATATGGTGATGATAGACTACACAATTTCCAAATGTGGCATTTTGTATGCATGCGTACTAAATGTTACAGTGCATGTGCGAGTATCCTTTCATTAGATCTTTATGGTGACATTAATCCATCAAAGGTTTGTAGCAATAAAGTAACAATGGTGGTATTTTGTAGAAACAATATCTAGGTGGTTTTCAGATAGGTGAAATTTATCTGGTGGAAACTATGTTTAAGTCGACACAATCTGATGGTCCACTTGGACACGTGGTCAACTTATAAGAAGAGAATTGTTTTTGTTTCTTTAGTACTTGATCATTAAACTTAACGTAAGACAGGAGATCAACTTAAGAGGTTTATTAGTAACAGCATAATTCACAAAAACATCTAATTGCCTAAAGGGAAATCATGTTGTTTTTAACTAAATGTTAAATGTCTTCTTGCTCAGTTGCTGACTTTAGTACTTCTTAAATCTGTATAAAAATTCACAAGGCAGACATTTTTATAGGCCAATGTCAGAAACTGTTGAAATAATGATTTAGTTTTAAAAACAAGTAACTGCACAAAAGTTTAGAAATATAGAATTTGAAGGATATGTGAAAGATTGAATTATTTCTAGAAACAAATATTGTATGGAATATTGAGTGTGGAATTCTATTAATGTGTCAACGATCTTTCTAACTGAAAAAGAAAATTTTGAAGACTATCAAATGAAATTTTGACTTATGATTTTATTTTACCTTTTCAAAACTTGAATGAATTTCATAATTAAATTATTTAAAGGTGAAAAGTATTTCATACATTTGACATTGTTACGCTCATATAAGTACCAAGATGTGCACACAAGACGTTTATAAGACACAAGATGTCTGCACACAAGATGTTTCTAAGACAAATAGAAAATTTGAAATAGAAGAGAACAAAACAAGACCAATGGTAAAATTCATCCTTTTGCTCCTTTAAATATTAGGTAAAGTGAAATGAAGAAAATTAATTCCCCTAAGAATTATGTCCTTGTTGTTAAGAATAGTGTTGGAGTGTTACACAAAAGGATAGCTCACTAAGTATCTTTAAGCGATAATACTACTTTTGTAAATTGTGCAGAAAGGTTTTGTGGTGATAATATGATTAGTATTACAGTTTTAGGGAGAGAAAAACACAGTGCAAAATCCACCTTTCGAAGCAGTTGACATCTTTTGCAACAACCTAGAGCTAGAGCACAAACACATCTAACTAGTAATGCTTTTTAGCAAGGTTGGATTAGATAGTTATATTCTATTGATTTGAAATCTAAACAACTTCTAAAAAAATTTAAAAATTTTG